TAATGGGGCAACAATAAAGTCAACAAAATAAAATTCCTGTATACTTGATATATTTTATTGTCCTCCTGTTTATTTTTTGATACTTTATAAAACATAAAGTAGGTGATCACTCATAGCAGGACAGCAAACAGGCCAGAGGATAAAGTGCAAATGTGCTTTGGCAGCATGCCCACTAGTCCCCAAGAACACTGGACAATGGAGAAGTGGTTAGGGTGGTAGGGGAGACCAGCAGCTGTACAGAGGACATCAATGGTGTCCCCACCAGTACCCACAGATATGGGGCACTAGGTGTCAGGTGGAGGAAGAGACTAATATGGTGGCAAGATTGGTTACATTGAGCAAGTAAGTATATTTAGGATAATGATAGCCAAGATTTTCTACACACATACATGTATTTATGTATGCATGTAAAATACAGATATATCCTGACTAACTGTGTCTGCTGAGAGAGTGCAGAGGCAATGAGAACCCAGGAGCAATAAACACAATGACCACGCAAGTCTTGGTTTCTGAACACTACTCTGCTTGAAGGAGCCAAGGTACCTTGGAGAAGTGGAAGCTCCAGGTTGAAGCACGGACTATAAAAGATAAGCCTGGGTCACCTTCTGTGCTAGAGGGTTAGGAGGAGGTCAGAGAATGCCAGGGACACATCAAAATGATATACAAGCCACCTCGAGGGGCCCATACCAGCTAAAACTTGTGAACATCAAAATAAATGAGAGTAATAAAATAGAATGTACTAATAAATGAATAATCCAGAATCCATGTTAATGTAAATAAAGGAGTAAACAAATACATGAGGAGAGAAGGCATTCTCCATGCAGAATGCCAACTAATAAAAGTAGAATGACAGAAAATTACTCTTTGGAAACCTTCAGAGGCAGCTGATTCAGGCACAGGAACAGGGCACGAACACTGGAGTACTTTCCCTCCAAATACTAATACACACAAATGGAACCACTTTGACTTTACAGCAGAGATAGTTATGAGACTGCAACATAATTAGGTAATGGAGGTCAAGGTCATCAGGGGTGGAATGGGTCCACAGAAAGTGATTGAAATGATGCAGAGCCAAACACAGGATCATTTCTGTGGCATTCCTGCCAAGACGGCATGGCCCAGCTCTGTTCGTGTTGAAATGTCAGATAGACCCAGGTTAAGGAAGGTCAGCACACAAAATAAGGTCTGCATTTTTTAAAATTTTGAGGCCATGATAGGGAGGGAAAAGGTGAGGAATTTTTCCAAAAAAGGAGACTGACAAGTCATAAGAGGAACTATGTGGAACTCTGGAACAGAAAGAAAAGAGACACTGCTGGGAAAGTTGGGGAAATGTGAACCCACTACAGTGGTTATGAAAGAGAATACACTTGTTTTAGGGAAATACACAATGGAGTATTTAGGAGTAATGGGGAATCATATGTGCAGCTTGCTCTCAAGTGGTTCAGAAAAAGACTAAAGACTGTGTGCAGGGGAGGAGGGGGGCACACACGTGTGTCTGTGTGTATGCAGAGGGAGAGATGGAGCAAATGCAATTAACTGTTAATACTAGGTGAGTCTAGAAGAGGGGAATATTAGAGTTCTTTGACCTATTTTTTGTTTTTTTGTTTGTTTTTAAGTTTGAACCCATTCTTTACTCCTGTACTGACCTATTTTTGCAAGTTTGAAATTATTTTAAAATGATTTAAAAAAATTAAGTAAAGCCTGTTATTTATAGCATAAACAATTTTATAACAAGAATTTACTACTCCATCATTTCAGCATTTTCCTATGTTCTATTCTAGGCTTTGTATATAATAACACACAATTTTACATAACTGTAAAGTGTAGATATTTTATATTCAGATATGTTAATTAACACAAAGTATTTTTTCATTTTACTACTGAGCCGTTATAAAGATTATTTTTTTTTAAAGATTTTATTTGAGGGAGATAGAGTGTGAGTGAGAGAGCAGAAGAAAAAGGAGCAGCAGAGGCAGAGGGAGAAGCAGGCTCCCCTCTGAGCAGAGAGCCTGATGCAGTGCTTGGTCCCAGGACCCTGGGATCATGACCTGAGCTGAAAGCAGTTGTTTAACGGGACTGAGCCACCCAGGTGGCTCTATAAAGATTATTTTTAAGAGCTCCATTACATCATACATGTATAACGAATGGAAACCTAAATGCATAGATGAAATAGAATTATTATTCTAGAGCTCATAAGATAGTATGTTAATATAATGTCCTCAGATGATAAACATTAGTTAACGATGTTAGGTTCTATTTCCTGCCTTTGAGGAGAGGTGTACAATAACCTTACTCAGTATGAGAATCAATTCAATACTGAAAAGGTATTAGGCACCTATGCTAATGCTCATTTTCTGTTTTCTGCTACATGGACTATTTTCTCAGTTTAACAACTTATTCTAGAATCAATGTGTTGTTTTAAGACTGAAACAAACAAACAAGACTGTGAAACGGACCTTTTCCCTATCTGGAAAACAGGGTTATACTAATAAGCCTCTGAAATTCCAGCATGTCTCCAAAGTCCCAAAGTTCCTCCACTTGATCTTAGCCAAAAGGCCTAGAAGTGATCCCAAAGACTTCTCCAGTGGCTACTGGAAATAATTTTAAAATGTTCTTTTCATTCTAAAGGGTTATAATTTATCTGAGCCGTAAATGATCTAAAGGAAAAAGCCATTCTTTTCTCTACTTATTTTGAACTCAATTTTACTTGAACTAAGTAAATAAAGGTTCTAAGTTTTAAGAATATGTATGAAATTACCTGAAATTTAGAGGAGGAATGTTTTAATTCAAATAAGACTAAATTCAAACTAATTGTTTGATTTATACACCAATTCCATTGTGTTTAAAACAAAGTTGCTTTAATTGAAATCTAGAAGCATAGTTTTGTAGGGGTACGGCATGACAATTTTTCTCAACCTTTTACATTTATAACTTACATTGTCTTTCTGTTCTTTCTGGAAAGGAGTACAGCCCCAATACTCAAATCCAGCTTTAGGCTAAGAACTAAGTATGTAGCCTTGGCTTTCTTTTGTTTTTTACACAGAATTCTGATTGTTGCTCCTTCCCGCTCAAATACACCCCAGTTTATCTCCACTCTTTAGACTTCTTTTCAAATACTACTTCCTTCAACAATCTCTGTGATCTGTGGAGAAAGGTTAGGTTTCTGCTATCATATATATCTGTACTTTTCTCTTACAGTACTTACAAGTGTAATTTGCTAAATATATATGTAACAGTTGTCCTAATATTCATCTCCTTTGCTAGAAAGTAAACTCAAAGGGTGTGGGACAGGCAGTGTCTTGTACCCCGGTGCCCATCAGTGTAGCTAATACAAGGAAGCACAAAAAGCATATATTGAATGAATACATGCATGCATGTGTACAAAGACAATACTTTTAAAATTAATTAAAGTGTTTAACTTCCTTTCGGATTAATTTTCCGATTACTCCACAAACACATAATGGCAAACAGTAAGAATTGCTTCAAACTTAAACTTTACTCCAATAAACTAGATTAAAACTCTAGCACATAAAATTTGCTTCCTCAAGTTGAATCTAACAATCAGCCTGTGAGATAACCGGTGTAGATATACCTGTTTTAGGGATGAAGAAAAGATTCAAGTGGCTAAACTCACACACCTAACATAAAGAAAGCCTCACAATTCTTCAGTCAGTTTTTTCCTACCCACTGGCTATCTTCCATGCAGGGCAATGTTTGCCCCAAACACATGTTTCCAAAAATACATTTCAAAACTCCAAAGAGCTAAATCTTTTATCTCGGGTAATTAGAAACTCTATTTCAGCGCATTTGCGCTTTAATAAAACTTAAGGTTTTAAAAATGTTAACCCACAAGAGTTAGCCTTCAACTTGTGACGTCACAGCCACTAAGGAGATTTCATTTTACATTTCACTTCTCCCGATTTGTAAATGTCCGCTCATTAAAACGAAATAAATCAGCTACCACATTTTTTTTTTTCACAACAGCCTACAAAGTAGATTTTACTCTTTGACTTAATGGCAACCGGCGACCTCCCCGTGAAGCCCAAGATTTTTTTTTTTCCTGAAACATCACCCTGCCCAAGGGTCTTACACTCCGGCCGTGGATCACAATTCCAAGTAGTTGGCAAGGCCTACATTTCTGGGAAATAACTATGCTAGAGATGAAGAGGAACACTTTTTTTTACTTACTCTACAAATGCCCTGGAGCAGAGGCAAAGGATTTTATAATCCTCTTCCAGGTCTTCAATGAAGAGAAACATTTCGGCCACGCGGCTCCACTTCTCGCAGCACATTTTACCACCTCAGTGCACGACGTTCTGCGGGAAACCGCACGGGACAGGCCTTCCCGGCCTCTGCTCGGTTCCTGGAGACCGAACGGAGGTCTCGCCGGCGCGCCCAGGGGCACGTCAGGGATTAGGAACTGGCCCGGGGCCGCTCGAGCCTGGAGCCGGCAAAGGAGCCGCCACCGGAAGTGGCTCCGGGCGCTCACGGGAAGGGGCAGGGCGATGGGGGTGTCACACTCAACGCCGTCCGTGCTGCAGCGGCAGTTTGTCTTTTTCTAACCAGGTTGCTCCGCGGGGGAACCCGCCACTGAAATTTCTCCTTTTCGCTCTGTCGCTGAGCCACCGAAGAGCTCCCGCTGCTGTTCGAGGGTGAGGACGAGCCGCTTCTGCCCCTCCCGCCCGAGGTGTGTCGGTTCTCATCTTGGCTTCCTAGTGCTCCTCCCCTCCGGGCGCACGGCTCCGCGTCAATCGCGCGGGGCTCGGAGCGGCCAAGGCCGCACGTCTAGTCTCGGGTGGGACAGCCCGGGAGTCCCCGGCGGGGGCGGGCGGGGTGGGCTTCCCGCGGCACTCGGTGTAAGCTCGGGCACCGGAGTGGCGGGGACGGGTGATCCTGCCTGGGTCACAACGAGCCTATTCTCTCCGCCGCGCATCCCCCCTCGAGCTCAAAAACCTCGTTTTGTCTCAACTTGGGCGGTGGGGCGAGGTGTCCGAACCTGGGCAGAGGCCTCTGGGCTTGCCTAGTGACCTCTGTTTCCAGAGGATCCGAATCGAGCCTCCTGGACTCGGGGGGCCGCAGGAATGAAGTGGTTAAGAAGGCTTCCCGCAGGTCCGGCGTGGAATCCGGGTCTGATGCTCCCTTGCTACCTGTGTGATCCGACAAGCGACTTAACCCTTCTGAGCCTCCTTGTGATCATCTGTAGGATCGCAGTGATGAAGAGTCATCACTGCTTCCTAGGGCTGCTGGAAGGACTAAATGAAACTGTGCATATCAGACCTCTCATATGCTATTAATAGTTTCCGTGGGTACCTAGTTTGTGCGCGGCAGATGCCGCGTTGGTCCCTGGGGTTTGCCGCCGGTAGAACAGGTCTCCGTCCGTCCTCAGGCTGCTGGTGCGTAAGAAAAATGCGTGTGCGCTTAAGGATGCCCAACACTGGAACACCACTACTGGATTTGGAAAAGGCAGTTCGTGTTCGGTATGTGGTAGTCGTTGAGACTGTCCAGGCAGCTTCCTCGAAGAAGCAAGTTCCAACGTGAAGGTGGTTGGAGCATTTCCGCACTTGGTTGTGCTGTTAATGCCAAAATAGCATTGTTTAGCATGTGTAACGACTGAGGTAAAATTCGGGTGTTTAAGGCTTAATATTTCAGGTATAATATTTTGGTCGCATTTACCATGGGATGGAAATAGAAAATTAATTTTCAAATGAAATGTTTATTTCCACACGAAATGCTTATTTCCACATCCTTACTGCTGTCTTACTTTGATATCCGGGATATGCTCATTTTAGTGACTCAAGAAAGTAAGAGTGCTGCACAGTTACGGACACACCGGTGTAGATATGCCGCATTTGGGGGATGAGGAGAGGTTAAGAAAAAAAAGCTGGAATAGTAATTATCATAGTGGAAGATTTTAGCTACAAGTTGAAGGACATTCTGGGTTTAAAAAAAAAAAAACAAAACACCAGACGGGTCATGATCCCAGCTTCCTGGGATCGAGCCCCGCATCGGGCTCTCTGCTCAGCAGGGAGCCTGCTTCCTCCTCTCTCTCTGCCTGCCTCTCTGCCTACTTGTGATCTCTGTCTGTCAAATAAATAAATAAAATCTTTAAAAAAAAAAAAAACCAGAAACAAAACACAAAACCTTAAAAGGTCATTCATAATAGAAACTAGAGTTTGAAGCTTGAATCTGCCGGGTATTTTAAAGATAAAATGATTAGGTTTCCCAGATATATTTATTAATTTATATTAGAGAAACTTCTTTTAGTTTGAAGTGGAATGCTTATTCACTAGGGCTGAATCCTAAACCCCTGTTAAACAATTATTAACAATGCAGGAGAGAAAAGGGAAATTAATTTTATTTCAGTGACTATTTAATTTAATTGGCATTTTCAGTGTATCTTCAATGTGGCTTATATACTAAAAGTAAGAAATGGATCTGTTGGCATCCATGGTGCTAAAAGTCCTGATAATGGGTATTTAAAAATTGTTCTATTTTTGTTAAGTTTTCTAGAAAACAAAAAAATCCTCTGTTCTGATGTGTTATTTTTCGAAATACTCTTATTTTAAAAATGTATAAGGTCATTTATAGTAAATGTTCCTCACCAGCAATATCAGCATGGTGATATTTTCTTTATTTGTGATGCACAGGGCTATGTTTAATTGTAGATTTTTTTTTAAATAGGAAATGACCTGGAATTTTGGTAATTAAAATAGTGTATCTCCCCCAAAATATCTTTTAACAATTATAGTTTTTAATTGGATTAGAATAGATTGGTAAGGAGTCAAATATAGTCTATGGCAAATTGGAGGGAGAGGGGGGCTAGGCGGAAGTAGAGGGAAGACAGAGATTGCAATTTTAACATTTTCAGCCTTTCTGTGAGAGAGAGACAGAGACAGAGTGAGAGGGGAAGAGAGAGATTAAAGAAAGTGTAATGAAAACCAGAGTAGGAAGTAGAAGAACCAGGTTTTAATTTTGGCCCTTGTTTCTTCACTGAATTAATTTAGTAACTTTGGGCAAGTTAACTTGGCTTTCTCTTTTTAACTGGTTTCTGCAAAATTAAGAGGTTGTGTTCATTGAGTTCTAAAGCCGTGCTCTCACACCATCAAAAGTAAGTATTTTATCAACTTAAAAGCTTATTATTCAGACTCTTCTGGTAGTTCTTTAGTGGCAAGCTTTAGGGCACTGTCTTGGTCCACATCTTTCATCAGAGATTTGAATGAACACAGTTAAGGTCTATCTTTATTCAGCTCATATTTGTTAGGTGCTTACTATGTGCCAGGCGTATTGTTCTAAGTGCTTTACATATGTTTTCTCATATGATTTTGTTTACCAGTGTATCCCCAAGTGTTTAGAATAGTGTCAAGCACAAATTATTTGCTTAGTAAACATATGTTGAGTAAATGAATTAATAACCCAATGTTTTAAGTCTTATCTGAGCCATGCCATGCCCTTTCTTATACACTGTATTCTGTCCCTTCTGGCCTAGTCAAGGACTGCTGCCAACAATTACTCCTCTCCTGCATCATCTATTTCTTACTCTCCCACTGAGGCATTAGCATTGGTGTTAAAGACCATGTTTTCTCTCATCTCAAAACAATAATAAACTTGGCCCACGTTCCTCTCCAGGTGCTCACCCATTTCTCTGTTCCTTTTTGCATCAGCATTCCTCTAAATAGTTGTCCATATTTGCTGTTTCCAATTCATTTCCTCTCACTTTTTCATGAATTTACTCCACCTGACTTTCATCCCCACTGTACAAAATAGTTCTTAATTATCTGGACTTGTCAGTGTCTCCGTGTTGTAAAACCCAATGGTCCATGATCATTTCTTAGACCTCTCTGCATCATTTGAAACCACTGAATAACTCCTTTCTTCTTGGGAACACTTTGTTACTTTGACATGCAGGGTGCCACTCCTGGAAGGGGAATGCTGGTTCCTCATTGTTGTCCCAACTTCTAAAATGTTGAGTGCCCCAGTGCTCAGTTCTGGGGGCTCTTTTTTATTCTATATTTCCTCCCTAGAAGGATCTTTTTTAGTTTCATGGTTTTCATACAATCTTTATATTCCTAATTCCCAGATATATTTCTCCAAATTTGATATTCCTGCTAATCTCTATGACCAGCTGCCTATTTAAGGTCTTCACTTGGATGTCTGCTAGAATCTTTACATGTTTAAAACTGAATTTCTGATCTCTCTTCCAATCCCAGACCTGTTCTTCCTGTAACTCCATCTTTTCACAAGCAAGCTAATATGATGACGATGCTAGCAATACTTAGGGCTTATATAGTGGAAGGTACTCTTCTAACGTTTTTTAAAAACATATATTCTTGAGGCACCTGGGTGGCTCAGTGGTTGAGGCCTCTGGCTTTGGCTCAGGTCATGGTCTCGGGGTCCTGGGATCGGGCCCCACGTCAGGCTCCTGGCTCGGCGGGGATCCTGCTCCCCACCCCCACCTGCCTCTCTGCCTACTTGTGATCTTTGTCTGTCAAATAAATAAATAAAATCTAAAATATATGTGTGTGTGTGTGTGTGTGTGTGTGTATCCTCACAACAGTCTTACTAGACAGGTACTGCTATTATCCCCACTTTACAGATGGAGAGACTGAGGCAGACTTGATAAGTAACTTGCCTAGGTCATACAGTAAGTAACAGAGTCTCCTGGAGTACAGACCCACATTGCCAAAACACTGTAGTCATCCCAGACTTCTCTCTCTCTCACTTATATTGTACATCCATTCATCAGCAATTCCTTTGGCTTTATCTTCACAGTATATCCAGAAATTATCATCTAACAGACTTTCACAGTCCAAGCCACTTTCATCACTCATTTCAATTATTGCCTCAACTTCCTATTTGTTTCCTGCGCAGTGTATTCTCGATACGGCAGTCATTTAAAACCCAAGTTAGGCAGTCTCGCTCTCTGGTGCCTTCTTCATCTCACTTAAGGTTAAACCAAGCCTACAGAGTTCTACAGTGCTACTCCTCTCTCCATTTCTGACTGCTTTCCCTATCACTCTTCTTCAGCCTGCTTCCTTGTTGCTCCTCAGACCACACCAGTAGACATCGTTTGTATTTACTTTTATTTTAGCCAGGACTTCTCTTCCAAATACCCACATAGTTTGCTTCCTCATTTCCTCAGGTCTCTGCTCAAATGTACCTTCGAAGAGTCCTTCCCAGGCTACTGTATATAACATAGCAACCCTTCCTCCTACCCTCTTGAGTGATATAGATCTCTATTTTCCTCTTATCCTGCTGTATATTTCTCCATAGCACTTATCATCATCTAATGTAGTATATGTACCACCATATCCTAATTTTATAGATCTTAGCAAGTTGAGGTGCAAGTGGGTTACTCAATATCATACAACTAGAGTCTGTCATGGGGAGTGACCTGAGTGCTGAAAGGTTATGAAACTAGGGTCTGAAGAGTGATTGAAAGAATTAAGGATTCTGACCAGAAAATGGGATTTCACAGCTCATCATAGCTTTGTTGAAACTTGAGAGTTTGTGTAATGGAAAAGGTTCTATGGTATAGAACTAGGTGCAGTAGGGAAAAGTTACACTGAGATAAGTATGTGCAAGATCTTTTTAGTAGTTCAATGGATGGTTTTGAAGATGGAATCGACACCTTTTGAGTTTTCTGTTCCAGAAAGTTTAAATCGAATTCGAGGATGACTATTTTGGAGGAGGTTCTTGTGTGCAGCACTGGGCCACTGTTCAGTGACTACTTATGAAGATGTCCCTCTTTGCTGTACTGTGTTTGTTTGATAAGTCAGAGTATAATTGAGGATAAGAAAGTACAGTTCTATTACAGTTTGAGTGGGGGGTAGTGCTAAAGAAGGTTTTAAAATCATAAGATATGGGGTGCCTGGGGGGCTCAGTGGGTTAAGCCTCTGTGGCTCAGGTCATGATCTCAGTGTCCTTGGGATCAAGCTTCACATCAGGCTCTCTGCTCAGCCTGGAGCCTGCTTCCCCCTCTCTTTCTGCCTGCCTCTCTGCCTACTTGTGATCTCTCTCTTTCTCTCTCTGTCAAATAAATAAATAAATAAAATCTTTAAGAAGGATAAAATCACAAGATGTTATGATCCTGTTAAAGTCAGAAATGAGACTAGATTATTAGGGCCATTGTATTAAGCAGTAAGGGTCAGATCATCAAAATGATTGGTTTTTAGGCCTAGGAAAAGCTCCTTTTAACATATTTGAGAAACTGTCATATATTTTAATTTATTAACAATATTTAAAATCTCTTTTTCTCTTGAGGTATAATTTACCATAACATTGACCATTTAAAAATGTACAACTTCACGGTTTTTAGGGTATTCCCAAGGTTGTACAACCATCATTACAATCTAATTCTGGGCCCTTTTCATTATTCCCAAAGACACCTCTGTTACCATTAGTGGCTACTTCTCATTGCCCCTTCCCCCCAGTCCCTGGCAACCACTTACTTTCTTGTCTCTACTGATTAGCCTATTCTGGATATTTCGTATGAATGGACTCATATAGAACGTGGCCTTTAGTGTCTGATTTTTTTAATCTAGTATGTTTTCAAGGTTTATGCCTACTGTAGCATGAAGCATTATCTCTTTTTATGGCTGAATAATATTCTACTGTAGGGGTGGAGCACATTTTATTGATTTATTCATCAGTTGATGGGCATTTTACTTTTTTGGCCCTTAGGAATAGTTTTGCTATCAACATTCATACATGAATTTCTGTGTGAATGCATGCTTTCAGTTTTCTGGGGTACATACCTAAGAGTAGAATTGTTGGGTCATTAGGTAACTCTTTGTTTAGATTTTTGAGGAACTGCGAAACAGATTTCCACCATGGTTGCACATTTTACATTCCCACTAGCAATGTATGAAGGTTCTAATTTCTCCATATCACTTACTTTCCATTTTTGTGATTCCATCCATCCCAGTGGGGGAAGCTCTCATTTTAAAAGTAGCAAGTTTCACTAAGTTTATGTTGCCCTCTAAATGTTTAAACCCTGATACATTATAAGGGTTCAAGTCTTTAGATGGATTGATGAGAATATGATGTAATTAAAGCCCACATCATTGTACGGTGACAGATGGTAGCTATATTGTGAGCTCAGCATAACATATAGAGTTGTCAGATCACTATGTTCATTGCTTGAAACGAAAATGGCATTGTGTGCCAACTGTACTTCAGGGAAAAAAAAAAAAAGCCCAGGTTGTGGGCTTAATGTGTGTTGTGTTTACCTTCTGTTACCATAGCAGGTGTACAACTTCTCAAAAGTAAATGCTTTTGGTTACAAGGAAATTAAATTAGACTAAATCTTCCATCCCTGGAGGACTAAGTCAAAGTGTATGCCCTGTTAATAAGTCAGTCAGCAAGACAATCTTGGGATAAAGACAACATATAACTGCTCTTGTATATCTGTCTCTCCCTCTCCCTCCATCCCTTTCTTTATTTACTCATTTCCTGTCTCATCTATAAAGGGTTTGAGATGATTTTCTTAAAAGATTGTGTAGCATGGAGGAATGACAAAATATCTCCAAGAATATAATCAGAACCAGGGAAGATCGGAATGAAAGAAGGAAATCTTGTGTAGGACATGATCTTAAAAGCTAATGTAGTTATACCATTGAATATCATATTTGACATCAGCTTATTATCTGGGAAAGTTACTAAGAAGAGACCTGGTCAGTTACACCTTTTACCTTCATACTTTTTCTCCAAAGAAGCAAAGGTTTTTATAGCTCTGAAATTTTTTTCTTTTTTTCTCTTTTTTTAATAGCTCTGAATTTTAATTGAAGTCTCAGGTGGTTTTTATATAATGGACATAAATGGTGTGTAAAGCTGTCCTCATTAAATCTTTGGTTGCATGAGTATAATTTTTAACTGTGATACACCAGTGTGGGTCTATAATATTTGTCACACATTTGTGAATGTGTCTTGCTATTTATTTTATGGGAACTCTAGATAATAATGATTATCTTTTTTTAATTATATCTTTCTTCCATTTGTATGCTCTGTTTTCCAGAACACATACACTGAAACTTGGGACAAGAAATTTACTTAATTTCTGGTAAGTTAAGTGACTGGTTTAGAGATAAGTGACATGAAATAATTGTATGGCTATAGTTTCAGTCATTGAACACTTAAGAGAAATTTTAGTGACTATAAGATAAAAATGACAGTGATAAATTTTTTATTATTACATAATGTTAAAAGAATAGAGATTTTTTTTTTTTTTTGTAAACCCACTTCTAAAAAACAGTAGCCAAAAATGTATGTCATCATTTCCTAAAGAATTGGGTTACTTTTATTGAGTGAAATATTGATGCTTTCTTTTGTGAAGAACAGTTACCTCAACATAACGTGGTTTAAGATTCAGTATGATCCACTTACGATGCAAGTCAGATTATTAAGATCAGTCTGAAATTTCATTCTTCATCAGGTTTATTTTTCTTTCTCAATTATAGCTCGTGAGTTATTTCAAAAGCTAAACCTGACATGCTTCATGAGCATGCAAATGAAACCTTATAATTTTTGCATTGAAGTCTGCAACAAAGTTAACCATAGCAATCTACTCATTTTTGGTATTAAGAAATGACTCTATGAGGTATTTATGTAGACTAAAACATTTAACTTTTCAACTGTGAAAGGAATAACATTGGGTTATTTTTCCTTTCTAGTGGCCAAATTAAAGACCTACCATGACAATGAAGAAAGAGACTGAATTTGTCATTTTCACTTAAAGAAAAATGATAAACAAAAATCAAACCTGTGGCACAGGACAGGATTCTATGCCCTATATGACTTGTCTGATTCACATACTTGAAGAATGGTTTGGTGTGGAACAGTTGGAGGACTATTTGAATTTTGCAAACTATCTCTTGTGGGTTTTTACACCACTAATACTTTTAATACTTCCTTACTTTACTATCTTTCTTCTCTATCTTACTATTATTTTCTTACACATTTACAAGAGGAAGAATGTATTAAAAGAAGCCTACTCTCATAATTTATGGGACGGTGCAAGGAAGACGGTGGCAACTCTCTGGGATGGACATGCGGCGGTTTGGCATGGTAAGCAAGATTACTTTGCTGTCTCTGTGTGGCTGTTCATCTGTGTGGCACTGAAGCTATATCATCATTCCATTTTATTGATCAATAGTAAAAAATATAAGGGATATTTACTATTTCATTTTATCTCTTTGCATGCCTTGTGTATCTACATGTCTTTCTTAAAATGAGTGTTTCCAAACACATTAGTTCCCATTAAACAAAGAACCATACAACAATGTAGGCTCTTACTGTAACCTAAAATATTAAAGTTTATACGTAAGATAATTAAAAGACCAAGAAACTAATTGAAACTGTATAGAAACCTATTTTAAAATACTCAAGTTTATATGTAAGACATCTAAAAGAGTAAGAAACTAATTAAAACTGTATAGAAACCTACAGAAACTTGCTTTAATTATTTAGTATTTAATTCCATTTTGTTCAAAATAAGTGACTTTCCTAGTGTAGATATTTAAAAAATGAATATTAACTAATAATATTAAATATAATTTATATACCATAGTTTACCCATTTTCTGTTTCATTCATTTCAGAGGTCACACGTCTCTTGAATAAATGAGATAGCAACAAGTTTCTCTCCAGGATATTCATTCTTTATCATTTGAGAAAGTGTATTGTTCTATATTTAATGATTGGTGGTTCTGTGGCTACTGTGAAAATTGCCCTCTTGTGGCCTATTATCTCTACCAATTTTTATCTTATTTGTTAGCCATTTTTGCATTAGGACTATAAAAAAATACAGAGAATTCCGTAGGTATGTAACAAAGATGTACTTTCTATTTTGTTTTGGGCATCAAAGTGGTTTCCCAGAAAGGCACAGAAGCATAGATTTTGAAATAGATACCAGAGGATATATACCACAGCAATATAAGGCTGCTATTAGCAAAGATCACCTGTGACCTGCTTATTAGGCCACTGTGTCATCATTTTAATACTACATGCAGTCTTAGAAGACTTTTTTGAGTACTTCTTATGCCACCATTGTTGAATGTTTGACATACAGTCTTTTAAAACTTAGCATAGATTCCATGTATTATCTCCATTTACAGTTTTCCTGTGAGGAAGTTGAGGAACAGAGAGATTGTTATTTGCCCAAGACACACTAGAAAGCTAGGAAGAAGGGTCAGGATACAATCTCAGGTATCAAGCTCTAGAGCCTGTGCTGTTACGATCTGTGCTGTGTGGTCAGTTTATCTCGGGTTGGGAATTCAGGGTCAAAGTAGCGGTATTCAGCAGGTTTGCAAACAGGAGCCCTTTGCCTTTGATGTACTGAATTCTGAACATTACTCATTAACACTAAGGCTCTTGCCAGTCATTACAACTCTCATTCCCTTTTATGGTTGTTTTACGTGAGACAACATGGTCCTTCAGGATATCACCTGTGTCCATCTGCAGAGATTGCATCTTTGTAGGCTGCTCTGGGTTTATTGTCTTGAATATAGTCACACACAGTTCAGTGGCATTGTTTCCAGTACTTGTTGGGAATATATATTCCCCTCCCAAATAGATACCACCTATATTTCAGGATTATGTATATCATAAGGAATTTTGAGTTTATTTATATTTCAGGAAACATGATTTAATTTAGGTAACTTCAAGCACTAAGCTTATTTTGAAATAGAATATATAATTTTGAGGTGTTTTTATTTTTCTGAGATATTTTCAAATATGCATTTATGGCTTAGAGGAAGTAAAATATATAGTTCTTAGCCTGTTTTAAATTTTTTTATGGTAACTTGATATTATATTTTATTGGGATAAATGATACTCTCTTATAAGTGATTTTTCCTTATTCAGCCATTAAAAAATGAAATCCTGCCATTTACAACAACATAGATGTACCTTGAAGGCATTGTGCTAAGTGAGATAAGACAGAGAAAAATCCTGTATCATTTCACTTATATGTGGCATCTAGAAAAAGAAAAAACCCAACGTCATTGAAAAAAGAGGTCAGACTCTTTTTAAAAAAAGGTTATCAGAGACAGAGGATGGGGAAGGGGGATTGGAGGAGGAGGGTCAAAGGTATTAACTTCCAGTTACTAGATAAGTAAGTTCTAGGGATGTAATGTACAACATGACTATAGCTAACACTGCTATAAGATATACAGTAAAGTTTTAAAGAGTAAATTCTAAGAGTTCTTAACACAAGGAGTAAAATATTTTTTTCTTTACTCTTCTTTTATCTATATGAGATGATGAATGATAGCCAAACCTACTGTGGTAATCATTTCACAATATATGTAATTCAAACCATCATTCTGTATGCCTTCAGCTTACACAGTGATACATACCAATTGTTTCTCAATAAAACTGGAAAAGATGGTTTTCTTTGCCCTGTTGTTTAGGGACATATATAAAAGGCATTTGTATGCATATTTGGATTTTGTATTGGTATCAAATCAGTTTTAATTCATGCTTTTTAAGGAATCTTCAAAGAAATTTTTTAACTAATAAAAATGTTGATTGTAAAAAAATGTGGTAAAAAAAATAAGGCAAATGATGGTCACCTTAAATTTACTATTGCAGTTGTGTTTTGTTAAAATTCTGGTGTGTTTATAATTTTTTATGTGTTGCCAACTAGTATTTTTTCATGTCACTAAACCTTAGTGACTTCTAATGACTATATGGAACTCTGTAAATCTTACAGTGAATTTAGTCAGTTATCTGTTGAACCATCATTTATTTATAATTTTTTCACTATAAGTATCTTTGTATGAGACTCTATCCAGCGTTTTGTCTTTTGAAATTGTATTTTATGTCATACTGTACATAATTTAAGTGCCGTCACTTTTCAAAAAGTTTCTGATTCTTATTTGCTGCATAACATAATGCCTATAATAAATAAAGAAATATTAATTTGATGTTTCTTAAATACCTACATTTCTAGGCAGTTTGCTTGGTGGTAGGTCAATGAAATGCCTACCCTCAAGTTAGCTTTTAAATAAAGTGTTAAAAATTTTGACTTACTTTTCAAAAAACATTATTCCTAGAAAATATGAACATTTTTAAAAGGTGGACTCGTAACATTTAATATTTCCCTTGAAAATTAATTATCAGGAAGAGTCCTCAGTAAGATAGCTAGATGTTTTTGAGAAAAGTAAAAGCTGTATATTTTAGCACAACTATAAAGGTAATGAGGACTGTAACTTTCTCCTTAGGGAAGTAAGGAATATTTTATTTTGGGGCTTTTAGGTTTTTTTTTTTTAAGATTTTATTTATTTATTTGAGTGAGAGAGAGCATGAGCTGGGGGGAGGGTCAGAGAGAGAGGGAGAAGCAGACTCCCCACTGATAGGGGAGCCTGATGTAGGGATTGATCCCAGAACACTGAGATCATGACCTGAATCTAACTGATTGAGCCATCCAGGTGCCCCTTAGTTGTTTATTTTATCTTATTTTATTTTGTGTTTGTTTTACAAGGGAAATTTACTTTATTATCTGAAAATAGGTATGTTTACCTAATGCCATCATAACTGGTTAAATTCATTGGCAGTACAAAATTTTTGAAAAATATGGTTTGATTAAGTAGGCTGATCATATGGTTCATTATGTTATATGAGTTAGAGTTTTTTAAAAATGGGCCATAATAGCATAAACTCAAAAAAATTTTTTAAAGATTTTATTTATTTATTAGAGAGTGTGCCAGAGAGCATGCATGGGGTGGGGATTGGGAAAAAGGGAGCAGAGGGAGAAGCAGGCTCCCCACTGAGCAGGGAGCCTGATGTGGGGCTTGATCCCAGAACCCTGAGGTCATACATGACCTCAGCTGAAGGTAGATGCTTAACCGACTGAACCATCCAGGCATCCCTAAATTCAACTTTCTTTTACTTTATGTTTTATTATTATTTCATAAAGAAATGGATACAATTTATTCACTAAAAGGGCCCTATAAATTAAATGATATGTAGCAAAGCCTATGGGAAAATTAAATTGAGGTATTAAGAGACATTCCCTCTCTACTTCAGTTGGAAAAGCGTTTCCTTTAACCTCTTCTCTTCTCTTTTTTTTTTTTTTTAAAGATTTTATTTATTTATTTGTCAGAAAGAGAGAGAGAGCGAGCACAGGCAGACAGAGTGGCAGGCAGAGGCAGAGGGAGAAGCAGGCTCCCCACAGAACAAGGAGCCCGATGTGGGACTCGATCCCAGGATGCTGGGATCATGACCTGAGCCGAAGGCAGCTGCTTAACCAACTGAGCCACCCAGGTGTCCCAACCTCTTCTCTTCTCTTATTGAGTGTGGGACTCCCTGAGCTTAAAACCAGGTTCTCCCCAACTACTGGCTGGTAGCCTTGACAAGTTACCTAACTTCTTTTTCCACTTCCCCCCTCCTTTCTGCCCCCTGCCTTTTGTAACAATCATGATTTTTCTAAACTTTGTTTTTAAAAAATATTTAGAATTATAGGGAAGTTACAAAAATATTTTTTCCTGCATATTTTCACCCAACTTCCCTTAATGTTAACATCTTATGTAACCATTTCTACAGTTACTGACTTAATAATGGTATAATACCATTAAGTAAACTACAGGTCTTACTTAAATGTTACCAGTTTTCTCATCAGTTTCCTTGTACCGGAGTTCCATGCTGCATTTAGTTGCCATGTCTCCTCCAATTTGTGATGGTTATTTAGTTAGGTGTTTTGTTTTGTTTTGCTTTGTTGTATGCAACTTTCATGACTTTCACAGTTTTGAAGAGGACTGCTCAATTATTTTGTAGATTCTCAATTTAGATCTGATATTTTCTGTAATGAGACTGAAGTTACATGTATTTACACATACTTGACAAGAATACCACAAAAATGATGATGTGTCCATCTCAGTGCATTGTATCAGAGGTTCATAATGTTGCTATGTCTTATTACTGGTGTAATGACTTTGATTTTTGTGGCTAAGGAGTTGTTTCCAGGTTTCTCCACCATGAAGTTGCTATTTTTTACTTTGTAATTGAAAAATATCTTGGGGGAACCACTTAAAACTATGTAAGTAATCTTTCTCAACCAAGATACTT